TGTTGTCTGTTTAGCAAAATGATAGTAGTAGATTCTCCCCTATGACCTGTGACCTGTCTGACCATAGGTTCTTGGCCCTGATAACAGTGTCAGGTATGAACTCCATCTTGTGAACCAGGTCTTAAATTCAATTAGAAGGTGGTTGGTTACTCCTGGAATATTTGTTCTGCTGTTGCACAGGTGGGGATATTTTGCAAAGCCAGTTGTTATTGTAACACACAGGGTTCACAGCTGGGTAGGTTGATGGGTTACCTTTCTCTGCCAGTAACATGCATAGCATCTTCTAAACTATGAAAACTAGCCAGCAGAGATGAAACTTTGAGCTCCATACCGGTTTGGGGTTTCTCCTTGTTTGCTTTGCAGCTCAGATATGTAGTGTCTCAGCAATAGGACAGCCAGTATTGTTTGAGGATCTATGGGATCTCTCTGGTCAACAACTCCAAAAGATGGAGCCTGTTCCTGGCATTGGGCTTTTATTTGCTAGCCTGTGGTGTTTATTAGGGCCCCTGAACCCCTGCTTGGGGTAACTACATTTAAACTCTTTTTTAAAAATATCATTTTTATTCTATGTGTATGAGTGTATTGTCTGCATGTATGTAAGCACACCCGTGTTGTGCAATGCCCATGGGGGTCAGAAGAGGGTGTTGGATCCTCTGGAACTGGAGTTATAAATGATTGTTAGCCACCAGGTGCTGGGAAACAAACCAGTTCCTCTGCAAGAGCAGCCAGTGCTCTTAACCACTGTGCCATCTCTCCAGCTCCCTAAACTCTTTTTATATTATATACATATATTAATATATGTATATATTATATTTTATATATATTAAAGGAAGCTTCTATAGTACCTTTCCATATGACATTTTTATTTATTATTTTTATTTTATGTGTCTGAGTGTATTGCCTGCATATGTGTAAATGCATCCATGTCATGCATTCCCCTTGAAGGTCAGAAAAGGGCGTCTCCTGTGGAACTGGAGTTATGGATGGTAACTCCCGCACTTCCCCACCCCACTAAGCCTGTCCTATCCACTCTATCTGTTTCCCATTTATATCACTGCATCCTACCTCCTCTCCCACGAACCCTTATTAGTTCCCTAATCTCTAGAGATTTTCCAAATGAAACACACTAATTCAAAGTTAGCAGCCATTTATGAGAAAGAACATGTGACATTTGTCATTCTGGGTCTGGATTACCTCATTTAGGATGATTGTTTCCAGTTCCATCCATTTGCCTGTAAGTTCCTTAATTTCATTTTTCTTAACAGCTGCATAATATTACATATGTGTAAATGTAGCATAGTTTAATTATCCTTTCATCAGTTGATGGACATCTAGTTTGTTTTCCATTTCCTGGTTATTGTGAAAAAGGGCAGCAATGAATAGGTATCTCTGCAGTAAAATATAGAGTCTTTTGGGTATATGGCCAAGAGTAGTATAGCTGGCTCATGTGGGAGATCTCAGTTTAGCTTTTTGAAGAAACTCCACCCTGATTCTCATAATGGCTGTACCAGTTTGCACTCCCACCAGCAGTGAATAACTGTTCCCCTTTCCCCACATCCTTGCCAGTATTTGTCATTTTTTGTTTTTTAGATCTTAGCCATTCTCAATAGGCTAAGATGAACTCTCAAAGTGGTTTTGATTTACATTTCCCTGTGGCTAAAGATGATGAACATTTTTATAAATATTTCTCCACCATTTGTGTTTCATCATTTGAGAACTCTCTGTTTATTTCCTTGCCCTAATTTTTACACCTCTGTCAGGTGTAAAGCTGGTAAAGACTTTTTCCCATTCTGTAGGTGACCTCTTCTCTTGAATGACAGTGTCCTTTGCTGTACAGAAGCTCTTTAATTTCATGAGATCCTATTTGTCAACTGTTGGTCTTAACTTTCTGAACAGGGTCCTGTTCAGAAAGTACTTTACCATGCCTATAAGCTCCAGTATATTTCCTACTTTCTACTCTCTGAAATTCAAGGGATGGCACTGTTTTTTGATATTTAGTAAATCACACCATCCTCCATCAAACCACCCTAAAGGAATGTAGGATAATGTGATTCTAGGTTCAAAATATGTAAAAGATGCCCAATGAGAGATCCATTGTCATTTAGGCCAGTAGTGAAGCAAAAATAATAGAGTGGCTCAGTGAGGTGGCCCAAGCCAGTACTGGGGAAGCAGAGGTAGGAGGATCAGAGCATCCTCTGCAACATGGGGAAATAGAGGCCAGTGCAGGCTATTTGCGATCCTATCTAAAAAACAAAACCAAATAAAACACCCCCCCCATACACAAAGAAAGTTGTGCAGGCTTGTCTCTAGGGCTCTTCTAAGTTGAAAACAATTCCAGTTTTCCTGTAACTGCTTTTAAAAATGTTATGTTGATCTTCCAATCAAAGACATTAGGAATAAAGATTTAAAAAGTATGAGGAAGGCTCTCAATGGGGACATGGGTCAGAGCATCCCCCCTCAAAGTTTCTTTTTGTTAGATACCTGATGATACCTTATAATACTTTCATTAAAAAATTTCAAGGGACAGCAAAATTGCTCAGTGGGTATAGGCACTTGCTGCCAAGCCTGTCCACCAGAGTTCCATCTGTGGCACACACATGGTAAAAGGAAAGAAGTGACTCCTGACTCCCAGGAGTTGCTCTCTGACCTCCATTCTGGGAGTGCGCGTGCACATATACCTATCACCCCCCACCCCCGCCCCAGACACCAAGCAAATAAATAAATGTTTTAAAACTTTCAAGCTAGAGAAAAGTTGAGAGTATAGATAACTTGTTTTTGCCTTGGGGCTAGAGTGATGTCTCAGCAGTTAAGAGCACTTGCTGCTCTTTCAGAGGACCTAAACTTGGTTCCCAGCACCCAAGTAGGGAGCTCATTACCTCCTGTAACTCTAGCTCCGGGGGATCTGCTGACCTCAGTGGGTACCTGCACTCATGTGCACATACCCACTTAAGAGCTTGTACTGCTCTGTTCCCAACATCAATATAAGGAAGCTCACAATACCTGCAACTCTGACTCCAGAGGGATCCAATACCTCTGGCCTCTGCAGGCATCTGTACTCATGTGCACATACCTACATACACATATTAAGATAAAAATCTTTATGTGTATGAATGTTTTGCCTGCATGTATGTAAGTGAACAACTGTCATGCAATGGTCACAGGGGCCAGAAAAGGGTGTGGATCCCCTGGAACCGGAGTGACTGACAATTTGATGGCCCCCTTGTGAGTGATGGGAACCCAATCCCATCCTCTGCAAGAGTAGCCAGTTCTTAACCGAGACATATCTCCAAGTAAAATATCTTTTTAAAAATATCATTTTCTTTCACCAAAAATGAATTGTTTACAACTCCTTTCTAGATTTATTTATTTATTTTTATTTATTGAGACATAGCTGGCTTTGAACTCAGGATCCTCCTCCTACCTCAGCTGCCAAGTGCTGAGATTAGAGCTATACTACAGAAGGTTCTAAACCTTAAACACAACTTTCCAATGTATTCTTTTTGTTTTCATGACATTGATAAACGTTTAGTCCCATTGTTGATGAAGCAGACTTTGGTCTTGGGTTGTAAAGCAATGTCTTTCACCTTTGTAATTCATACTTAATGGGTTAGTGCTCCTAGGTCTTTTAAATGTAGCCTTCATAACCTCCATCCATTAGTTTTAGCAACTGATGATCATTTCCTGAATTGGTAACACTAGTGGTTATAATCAAAGCCCAAACCAAACCAATCAAAACACAAGAGCCCACACATTGTGTTTTGTGTTGAGGTCTGCCTCAACAAGCTGCTGCTAATAACCAGCTCAAAGACTTTACATGTGCTGGGCCTGGAAAAGCCGGGTTCCTCTTCATCAGTAAAGCCACCAACACTAAAATCACTCCCTCACCTTGAGTAGATAACACTGCATGGCTTCAAACTTCTTTGCACACGCCTTTAATCCCAGCACTCAGGGGCAGGCAGATCTCTGTGAGTTCAAGGCTAGTCTGGTCTACATAGTGAGTTCTAGGACAGCTGGGGCTACAGGGAGACCCTGACTCAAAAAGACCAAAAAAAAAAAAAAACAAAAAAACAACAACCCGAATAAACCAAGTTTTTTCAGAGGTCAGCAGGAAGCCTAGACCAGTTTGGGCAGGAGTGGCCAAGTAAGGCACTTGTGAGCTTTGAAATGCAGATCAGTTCAGAAGATCCAGACCGTGACCTTCAAGAAGGGGGGTGGGGGCGGAGACCGGCTTGGGGCGTGGTAGTACACACCTTTATCCTAGCACCTGGAGATATTGGCAGGCAGAGCTCTGAGTTCCAGGTCACCCTGGTCTACATAGAGTTCCAAGCCACCAGCCAGGTCCTCTCTCAAACATTC